TTTTTTTTAGAAGACGAAATCCTAGCATTAATAACCTAGAATGTAAACTATCAAAAAGTTTTTCGACAAGATACATCTTTACATAAACCAATTTTTTTCCAAAAAGACGCAACCCTAGGATGCTTTAATAACCATAAAACCAAACTTTTCAAAAAAAACGCAATCCTAGAATGTATTAATAACCACAAAATGGTTTTTACTAAGAAGACGCAATCAAATCATGTATTAACAACCATAAAACGGTTTCTTTAGAAAGCCACAGTTCTCAAAGACATTGCTAACCATAAGAAAATCTAAAAGACGCAACGCTTAGAGATTAATAAGCAAAAATCATTTTTTTTCACAAACCCACTCCTAAAAAATATTAATGACCGTAAAACAATTTTTTTGAAAGACGTAACCTAAGAGACACTAATAACCATAAAATTTTGTTTTTTCTAAATTGTGTAACCCTAAAAGACACTAATAACCATAAAATATTTTTTATGGAAAGACACAATCCTAGCGTTAATAACCATAAAACGGTTATTTTAAAAAAAAAACCTTAAAATATATTTCCCAGTATTGCTATTATTGATAGACGTGATCCTTCAAAAAATTTCTAGAATTATTATTTAATTAAAGAAACAAAATATTGTGAGACTCTAAAATAATTTTTGACGTTTTTATCACATCATGTTTTGAGTGAATTTTAAAGTTAGTAATCATAAATGAAAAACTTTCAATGAAACAAATATATAGAGTTTGAAAAACACAAATCTATACAGTTTTTTTTTAAAAGATACAACCATAAAGATTAAAAACCATAAAACATTTTTTTCGAAATGGCACAATCCTAAAAAGACACTAATAACCGTAAATGGAATATCTTGAAAAGATACAACCTTAGCATTAAAAACCATAAATATATGTCAAACAGTTTTTTTTCGAAAAAATGCAACCCTTGAAAATAACCATAAAGTGGTTATACTAAAAATACGCATTTTCGGAAATCGGTTACTTTTGAAAGGACACAACTACAAAACAGTTATATTGAAAATGCCAAGCCCTTGAGAATAACGATAAAGTGGTTATATTGAAAAAACGCAATCTTCGAAAATAACAATAAAAATATTATTTTTGAAAAAACAAAACTATAAAACAGTTATCTACATATTAAATGCAATCTTTGGAAATAATTATAAAGCGCTTATATAAAAAAAATCGTAACTCTTGGAAATAACCATAAAACGATTTTTTCCTAAAGGACACAATCTTAAATAATCATAAAGCGGTTATATTAAAAAAGGCAACTTTTGAAAAAAAGTTATATAAAAAAAAGACAACTCTTAAAAATAATTATAAAGCGGTTACATTGAATAAACGCAATCTTTCAAAATAACCAATGAACAATTTTTCCCGAAAAGTCGCAATTTTTGGAAATAACTATAAATCGGTTATTTTCGAAAGAACACAACCACAAAGCGGTTATCTATATAGTAGATGCAACCTTTGGAAATAATTATTATACGATTATATCCAAAAAATACAACTCTTAAGAAAACGGTTATATAAAAAAAACGCAACCCTTGGAAAGAACCATTAAACGGTTATTTCCGAAAAGACACAACTTTAAATAACCATAAAACGGTTATATCGAAAATGTAACTCTTATAAAATCGGTTATATGGTAAAATGCAACCCTTAGCCCACAAAAAATGTTTTTCCTTCCTCACTCATTTCACGGATTGGAACCATAGCTATTCGTCTAATCAATATAAAAATTCATGGATTTTACGCCATTTAAATTGATTCATTTTTAATTGAGAATTTTAAATCGTCCAATGCATATAAAAACAATAGTTGATAACCAAATTGCCTCTATTTTGTAGTAATGTTAATGCGGCTTTAATATTTCGATGTATAAAATCCGTAAAAATTTCTTTCAAATATAAAGAATCAATGTTTCCGTAGAGAATTGTTAGATTTTATCAGTCTTTTTATATG